CTGATTGATAGGAATAAGTAGTGACTGGTAAAAGTGCTTTCCAGTTACTTTTTGAAAGGAAAAAAACTGACATAAATAAAGACCTTTTGTGTCTACTGGGCAACTCTTCTGGTAGTTTGTGTGGGGTGCTTACAGGACTGTCACCAATTTATATAACGAATATAATTTTTAAGGTCGGGAGCAGGCTGAACTGACTGGAAAAAGGCTGGCAAGCTTGGGAATAAAATTTGATCAGATTATCCATTCCTCCATGACTAGAGCAACTGAAACTACTGAAATTATAAGCAAACATCTTCCAGGTAAGTGAGTTCCCTTAAGTTTTCATTGTCTTCTGATCCTTAAAAGTGCTTCCAGTAGAATTCTGAGCTTGTCCTTAAGGTTGAGATGTTTAGTTAACTTCCAGCCCTGTGTGAATGTCTGTGTTTATAAAGAAATTAACAACCCTGATTCTGCTTGTCTCCAATTAGCAGTAAGCATTAACTGACATACAGCTTTAGGTTAACATCCTTCAAGTGCAGTTCCATGAAGTGCAGCAGACTGGGAAGACTCAGTTTGCTGTGCCAGGTTGGTCTGGCTGTTCTCAGTTGGAATAAACTTAGTCTTGCTGATGACAAACAAGTTTTGTTGGGAACTGTGTAGGCTAAAATGGTCGTTAGGATGGAGAGGAAGACTTCCTCAAAGAAAGAATATGAAAAATGCATTGATTGTAGAGTTGTGAGCCTGTTTGCAGTGGCATGTGGAGTAACAACTGCTTTCTAAATGTGTATTTAATATTTCAGGAGTCAAAAAAGTTAGTACTGATCTACTGAGAGAGGGAGCACCTATTGAACCAGACCCTCCAGTCTCTCACTGGAAACCAGAAGCTGTGGTAATTTTTTACTTTTCTTTGCTTGTTCTCTTTTGTTGGGTTTTTTTCTGAATAGACTTTATATTGACAGTAGAAATAACACACGGAGCCCGTGCTGGTGCTTTTCATCACAGACCTTAGATAACTGCATACTTGTCTCCTCCCCAGTAAGTATAGAGAAGAGTTAAAGTAACTTAGAATCCTTAATTCTGAACTCTGTGCCATTAGCAGTATTATGAAGATGGAGCTCGAATCGAGGCAGCTTTTCGAAACTTCATTCATAGAGCTGATGTAAAGCAGGAAGAAGACAGCTACGAGATCTTTGTCTGCCATGCCAACGTGATCCGCTATATTGTGTGCAGGTATGTGCTGCATTGCATGTTCCTCTGCTCTTTAACACCTCATAGTCTCATAGTTCTACTGAATTAGGGGTGGTTTATGGCACTGCTGAGCTAGGGACTCTGTGGTTTTGATTTGGCTTCTTTTGAAGTGGTTGGAGATCAGTGCCTGCATTGCGAGCAGCTGCTGCTGAACTTCATCACAGGATTAATTTGCAGATACAGGACACGGTTGAAAACTGAAACACTTTGATTCTAATTCTGAAGAGAAATGGCTGAATTGGTGAGGCTCAAACCCTTTTTGTATGCTCGAACAGTCTCTTTAATACCATATGGCTCTGCTTCCAATAAAACTAAGGACAGTGCCTGTGTGGACTGGTGGAAAAGAGCAAATAGAGCATGATTGGATGCCTCTTTTTGAGGTGATGAGATTTGATCTTACGTACTGAAAGATTCATTTAGTTTTGAGAATTATTTAGTAATGGAAATTTTTGTATTATGTGCAAATTGTATCATCAGTGGGGTTTTGCAGTAACATCCAGTATTGGATTAGAGCGAGAGTGAGTCTTCCCACTAACATCATCGTTGTTCATGAAGGCGAAGACAGTTCTGGAGCTTTGCCTGTCTCTGTATCCAGTCAGCTGAGTCTGTTCTATTCCTCTTCCCTATCAACAAAGCAATGTCTGTAACATAATTTTTCTTGAGCAGGGCAGATGTGATTAAACTTTAATCTGATCAATACCTACAACAATTTCAGTTAGCTCTCTTCAGCTGAGCTAGTTAAATGCTGGCCTGTCTGTTCTGTGGACTGCTTTAGAGCTCTTCAAAATTGCTACACTTAAAATTATTGATTGGGTAAACAGAATATTCTTTCCTGTGCCAAAAAAAGATTGTCTTCCTGCTCCCTAGGCTTCTTCTGAAATACTGTTTCTCTTTGCTGTTTCTTCCCTCTTCTTTTAACTTCTATTTCGTGCCTGTTACTCCAGGCTATCTGATATCACAGTTGGACACAAACCATGTAGTGCTCCCTTTGAGTCTAGCTTGACTGTAGCTGTTGTTTGATACTTAATTTCTTAGTTTTTCTACAAGACTGTCATAAGAGCCAAAACTAAATTGTTTGTCAGTATCTGAAGCAAACCATGTGTGAGACAACGTGGTTTTTTCCAGTGCTTGCTACAATTGATTGAACTCCTGAGGCTGTTCAGTTAGGAACTGTAGAATAGCTGGAGACTAGCTGTGATACTGTATTCGTTCAAAAAGCACAAGGAAACTCTTCTTGCCACTTCTGGGGAGCAATATAGCTGATGGAAAGTAGTTCTGGTGGCACATGTGGGCAATTAGAATGACTACTATCTCACTACCTCTTCCTAGCTGTTATGTGCTATCCATGTTCATAAGGCTAAAATAGTGTGTGGAAGTGTCCTGTTTGTTTGCCTTCGGTCTGTGGAGGAGGCACTCGGGGGGGTGAGCCATCTCCTCTACCCGTCCTGAACTGCACAGGGTTCTGTGGTCCTCAGCTGGCCAAGTGACCAGCTTGAACCAGTCCCATCTATCTGTTTGATATGAGGTGGCTCAAAATGCTCCCAGCAACCTGACTGCATTAGAGCTGCTGCCTTCTGTCCATGAGAATTAATCCCATCTAGAGTAAATCACACCCATCTGCTGGACTCTGCTTGTGTGAGTGTGCTGCTGGCACTGGCCCAGTTCTCAGTGCTGCGTTCTCCCAGCAATCACACAACGAGAAGTGTATTTTCCAAGGCTGATGCTGGATGCTGTGAGGGCACATTAATATAACTGTTAATGAATGAATAATATATTCTTTTTTAATTCTTTTTTTAAACAGAGCGTTGCAGTTCCCCCCAGAAGGCTGGCTGCGAATGTCTCTTAACAATGGCAGCATCACTCACTTGGTGATACGTCCGAATGGAAGAGTGGCACTTCGAACACTGGGTGACACAGGTTTCATGCCTCCAGATAAAATCACTCGCACCTGAATGAGCAGAACTGATGGCTCTTCAGGAGCTGCCTCTAGTCTCTTTGCACTAGTACATCCAGCTGCCGTACCACTAGGTTTTGATCTGTTACGTTGGGGTGTGATGCTGTCTTAAAATGTCATTTAGCCCTTTGCCTCCTTCATACGTATTCATATCTGCCTTCCAGTTCAGAAGAGAAGGTATCTCTAAGCCTGGAGCTCTCCAATCCTCAAGTATTCCCCAAACCTCAAAGGTGAGCTGTGGAATACAAAGAGATTGAATGTCTGCTCAGCAGTTCCAGGAGCACTGACTTCCCCTCATGCCGCCGTGACTTTCTATAACCAAAGCAGCTTGCTCCTGTGGGTATTTTTCTTGTGCAGGAAAGCAGTGGGAGTGGGAACTGGAAGGATAAGCCTTGTATCACTGCAACTGAAACTGAAGGTGCGCGGGCTTGTTTCAGCTCCTGCAGGAGAGGTGACAAACAGGGTATTCTGCTGTTCAAAGGAATAAGGCATCGGGTTTTTTAAGTGGTTGAGGATGTATGTTTGTTGTGTTGTTGTTCTCCTCTGCCCCCAACAAGCTCTTGTAAAACTGTGCCTGGAGGTTGCAAGCATAAAGCAAAAAGGGTAAAAACCCATTTGCCTCAGACCTGTGGTGCTAGAGTTAACTGCTGCTTAAATTAAGTGTTCCTCCATCCTCAGGAAGTACTTTAGCTATTCTCAACAATGTCTTTCAGTTTTGTAAAGCCTTTAAATAAAAGCTGGTCTGTACAAGGATGTAGGGATGAGTTTGTAGCAGTGAGATGGAAGGAAAGGGAAGCAGCAATCATCTTCTGAAAGTGCTTCTGGTACTGACACATTTTTTTTAGTGCTTTCACCCATTGATTGGCATTTGTCAATCCCTTGCTTTCAGAGCAGAGACATCCCACCACTGAGGTCAAGTGGTGATTGATAGCTCAGGGCAGAGGTTCAGC